AGCTTACGAGGAAATTTTTTCCACGGCTTTACGAGGAAATCTTTCCTCGTAAATTAGCTAGGCCTTTACGAGGAAAATAGCCTTTACGATGAACGTCTTTCGACGAAACACGTTTCCTCGCTATTTCCTAGTAAAGGGCCCTTTACTAGGAAATAACGAGGAAAACCCGTCCTAGTAAAGGACGTGTTTTCTTGTAGTGGTCGGGAAGAATGCTGTCTTGTTGTATGAGTTGGCGAGAGGTAAAGGTGGAACGGGGTGCCATTGCTGCCTAGGTCTATGCTGACGAGGCTTGTGGAGTGGAGCTTGCGGTTCGTCATAGTAAGCTTGAGTAGCGTTAGCATCTCCTTGGTAAGACAACCTATGAGCTTTAGCTGGCTCATCTCTATCCGCTGCTGTATCCTCTGCATCCTCCATGTGATCATCGGGTGTGCCAGGGGAGGAAGCTCAGGATCTCCGTGGTCTGAGGGTCAATCTCTTTAACTTCCCAGCCAAATAGTTCACTGATCTCACCAGCTTTGCAATAGGTCGATCCTGAAATTTGTTGGCTCGCTGATGTGATCTGATTTGCTGATGTGCTTCGCGGATAGGACCGTCAGGAAGAGCACCACTATAAGGTGTGAAGTAGTAGCGAAAGCTTCCATAGACGTTTGTTTGTGAACTAGTCTCATCGTGCTCCTCTATCTGATAAGTATCAGTACCCTTCTTACCCTTACTGATCTTCTTAGGTATCTCATGAATCGAAGGGTTGTACAAAACTTCATCAGGAAGATTGAATTTGACGTTATCTCTTTCGGCTAATGACGTGATGTCCTGGTTTGGGAAAAGAGTCCTCACAATCTCTTTGTAGAAGACCTTATAACAGTAAACCCATGATTTACTTACTTTCCCATCGAGGGACTCACAGTTAGTGAGAAAAGCCTCGTCCATCAACTCAAATTCCAACATCAGCCTCGGGTAAAGGAACATTTAATGCCTCTAAAAGTGGGGTGATAAGGCCTCCAATACGCAGCTCCGGTGACTTATCACATGTCATCCATATCCAATGTTGGTAATAGAGTAGGCATTTCACAAAAATCGTTACGATCCCTGGTTCCTCATCGTCACGTCCACTATGTATCGATTTGTTGCCGTCAAACACTCCTATTAACGGTTCAAGACCGATAATGAGGAATCTCAGCTCATCCTCAGTCACTCTTCCCGTCTCTCCCCGTGCAAACAAGGTGCTTGACAATATCTTGTGGGTATAGCGGATAGCAGGATTTCAAATATCCTTACTCTTGTTCATCGCCGTATCATGCCTCCCCGCAGCAATCATATTCAGATTTTCAGTATAATCTTTGTAGGACCCTAACCGTGGCTGCTTCTTGTCTGGAAATCCCATGATCTCACTGATCTTCTTGAAGGACATGTGATAAGTTTGTCGGCCAATGCGAAATTTGATGCTACCATAACATTCAACTGGATCTTCTTTCTTTAGGTGAAAGGTAGCTTCAAGAGAGGAGATGAACTGATATGAGGCTTACTTATATCCTGGTCTCTGCAAGGTTAACAACCAATCTAACCCCATGTTTTCGTATAGGAGCTTCACATCATCATAGATACCCAACTTCTGCATAGTTTCAGGATGGAGATAAGTTTTCGGCATGAGATTTACACCCTTGAGGATTATAGCTATCTCTGAAGGCGGCAGTTTCTTCTTCTTTGGTAGCTTTGGAGCTCTTGCCCTTTTCTTTGGAGCCGGTTCATCTTCACTTTCAGACTTATGGGACTCTTCCTCCTCAATAGGATCCTCCCTTATTATCTCCTTATTCTTGTGACCTTTGCCTCGAGAAGAGCTTGTACTTCCTCCTTCTTCACTTGTTAACACAAACTCTTTCCTTGGCACATTAGATGGCTGTGGTGCATCATCACTCTTATTTCTCCCCATGTTTTATTGTTGCAAAAAGAACACTCAAAAAGGGAGTGAGTTCAAATTCAAAAGACAAGCTTGAATGAGGAGCTCACAAGAGATATCACAATTTTCTAAAGTGTATTCAAGAGATGATCAAGTTCAAAAACTAGCATGCCTCATGTTATTTAGCATATAATCCATTTCAAACAAGCAAGCTTCAACTAATAATTTATGTGCAAAAAAATAACACAATAATTAAAATGAAACGGAGGGAATAACACTATTTAGGTAATAAAAATATTTGCGGTATAAATGCAGTGTCGTTAATAGAAAGTAATTAAGTGTTACCATAAATATTGAGTTTCAATGCATTTAATAAAATAAAAAAAACGTATTTTCACACATTGAAATGAGTCGATATCTGTTGGTGTTCTACTTTAGTAGTCTTGAATTGATTGTAATCTCCAGTAGTAACTTTGGGAAAATTGTATTTTTGCCAAAAAAAACATGTACATTGTCATTTTAGGCTAATCTTAATTTTGCACTATTTTTGTCTATAATACCCTTTTCTATTTATGAAAATTGATAAAATAAATAGTTTTAGAACCTTAAAAATTAAGAAAAATAGAAATATGTGAAGAAATACCTATACCAATATATAAGTTTTTTTGGGGTTTTAAAAATGTTTAAATAAAATTTTCAGATTTCATTCTATGAACAGCAAAATTTACATTCTGCGAAGTGGAAACTAAAATCCACTTTTTTCTTTAATTCTACAAAGATTAGAATAAGCCTTCTACATAAATAACAGTGATCTAAAAATATTTGGAATACGTATTCTACGGATTGTCCATCATTCTAAAAATCGTAGAATACACAATCTACACATTACTAAAAATCTAAAACTTGTAGAAATCGAATTCAAATTTGTTAACTGCATTCGAAAGATAATAGAATACATATTCTACGGATAAATATCAATATTTCCGAAAATAAGGGGAAGAAAATATTTGAAAATATTATGTTTCGATATTTGAAAATTGAATTTTTTGAACAAAAAAGGCTAAAAAATTAGTGGTTTGGCTGCCCCTTCTTCAAACACTCGTCTTCCACATTTCCTTGATTTTCACATAATTTTCATAAAGTTTCTTCCATCATACATTGTGGAGTACGAGAATTGGTTTCTCTCTTGATGAAAAGAAAAGAGAGGTTACAAAATTTGAATTCCTCATCTTGATTGGAATAGAGATATAGAACACACTAACCACTTGATTATACTGTTTTACAAGAACTGCAAAAAGAACTACTTGACTTTTCTGTCAACTTTTCAAGAGCCTTTCATTATATATATGATTACATATATACATACATTATAGAAAGATCCATATATACAGAAATCTAAAATAGTTAACTTCATAAACTCCCATCTTCTTTCTAAAGAAAAATTCCAGAATCGCGGCCAACAACAATATTATATCATCTCATATTGCAGCAATGAGGCGTCTCAAGTCCAGTAGCTTATCCCACGTGCAAATTATCTGCCGTGGTGACTGGTAAAGAACGGTGAAATAGTCTTCTATGCATCCAAACTGGCAGAACCTGAGGCTGTGAACCACCTCCACTGGTTTAGTCGTTGAACTTCTCCACCCACATTCCCTAGTTCACATCTTCCATCTTGAACAACTGAAATAACAAAGTAACAATGGCCATATAAACAAATGCTAAATTCAATCTAGCAAATGCATAAGAGGCTTAAGTTACTCTTAATCTCTTCTTTCAAAATCATCCACAATGAACTTAGCTATGTCAAATGACAAGATGTAACCCGGACCATTTGCATATGGTGGATAATACTCTTCTGGCCATTCCTGATGCAACCAATTTTATAATCTTTGACTTGTTCAAATTCTAAAAATGTAAATTGTTACCGTCACAGCCAATTTCCCGTCATAGTGATCCATGTACGGTACTATGACAATACCACCAAGTACTCAGCTTCTTTCTTAAGATCCACATTGACTTCCTTTCTTGCGTGCTACAACATAAAGAAATGCAGATAAACTTCAATGACTATCATAAAATGATTTTATTATTTTCAAGACTTGTTGCTTACTAATACCCCAAAGAACCAGGAAACAACTTTAGATGATATGACAAGCTTCTGCTGCATCCATGACTTCCTCACAGCCATTCTCTCTGTAAAAATGGTTACCAGCAGAGAGAACACCGATGAACAGCTCCACAGGCTTCCCAGGTAACGCAGGAGCTTTCCACATGCTCTGCATCTCGAGATGCTTTTGCGGCGCTAGTCCATTAGCATCATCTAGAATGCAGATCAATCTTCCCCTTGACTGCTAGTCCAGTAGCATCCTCTAGAACAAACCCCTGTAAGATCCGTTACACGGGTCAATGTTCTACTGAGCGTTTCAGACAAAAACGAAAAGAAAAAGAACTCACTGTTCTGTAAGGGAAAGATGTGATATGTTTTCCATTAACGCTGATGTGGTAACCTTCCATTCCAGCTTGAAGGGTAAGAATAAAGAGCTTCCCTTCTTCAAAAGGGTATATGGCCAATTATGTGTTATCTTCTTCCGTTGACCCATAAGCCTATTCAACCACCATGTCTTCTTTGACCCATCAGAACCATCACCGTTACAAAGCATTAGGCCGTAGACGAACCGAGCAAGAGTCGGAGAAGAAGAAATTAGCCGGAGATGAAGAGATTCACGCCGGAGTACGGAGAAGAAGAGATTGACGCCGGAGTATCCTTCAATTTCAAGTGCTCTTGACGTCGCCCCACCAAGAGATAGAGATCGTTTACGAGAGAGACGAAGATAACAAGTCTTTGACAATTAGGGCTCAATTTTTTTTTTTTGATTTGGGATTTTTTATGTTGCTACTTTATTTTTAATTATCTTTATTATTAATTTATATTTTTATATTTTACAGTTAGTTTTTAATTGTATTCTAAATGGGCATAACTGAGATTTTAAAAATTATTAACCTAATGGGACAATTATATAATGGGATTAGTTTATTAGGACAATGTTAGTGTTTTTTTTGCCCAAAAAAAATTTCCCTAGTAACTTTTAGTTTGAAAGTTGAAACCTTGTGGGAAACATCAAGAGATAATTAAGCAAATGCCCATATTTGATGTTGATCTTAGGGAAGTATCCATGATTTAACATAAGAGTAAAGTTTTACATAATTTATACTTATTCAGACGATTTTGTCCTTTTCACATTTTTTTCCCATGTGAAATATCTAACATCTCTCATTCTCCAACGATTCTTCATCTCTTTCTTACATTCATTTTATTTAAACCACACATATTTTTCACATAACTCTTTTTCACATTCATTTCTTTCTTTTTTTCTTGATTTTTGTTTCTCATCTACAATTTTATTTGTAAATGATTTTTAAATTTACTCATTTTGATAGAGAAATGAAACTTCAACAATATTTATTTGTTAACATATAATACCTAACGCATGTATTGACATCTACAAAATTTATTAAGAACAAACATCTCTGTTAGCACTTGTAATACATGTCTTTGTTAACAGCTAACACATCGGTTAACATTTACAAAATTTGTTAACTGTTAATGCCTCTGTTAATACATCCGGTACATGTATTTGTTAACAGTTAACACTTTTGTTGACATCTACATTATTTGTTAACAGCTAATATAAGTGTTAACATCTCGGCAATTTAAAAAAAAACTTCAATGCTGATTTTTTTCAGAATGTGGTGTAATTAAAGTAATTTAGATTCATAAGAATAGTAGTAAAATAGTAATAAATTTTTTCGCAACAATAAATTTTTACACAAAAAAGAAGGTATTAACATGATAAGAGAGTTTGAATGAGAAAGAAGAGGAATCGAAGGAAAGAGAGTGTCACTAGAGAGAGTGTGTCAGAAGAGAGAGTGTGTCAGGAGAGAGAGTGTCACATGCATGGAGGAAGGGCAATTTCGTCATATAAAATGGATCAGTCCCATCATGGGCATTTGGCTAATTATGAGGTGATTTATGGTGCTGCAGCAAATAATCTCAAACATCAAACATGTGCATTGCAAATAGGGATTTTTGCAAAATTGACTCACAACTCAAAGTCAAACACAAAACTAACTTCTTCTTTTGAAACTGAAATTTTTACCAGATATGCTAAGGAAGTCATCTCACCTAATTTAAGGTATGAAACTGAAATTTTTACCAGATATGTTCGCGTAGAAGACTTACCCGTAAGTCTTCTGGATGTAGAAGACTGACGGATAAGTCTTCTGGTCAAACGGACGACTTACTCTAAGTCGTTCAGCTTTGTATGTTTTAAAAAAAACTCTAGAAAACTTATAAGTAAGTCTTCTAGGAAAAACGGGCTAGTTTTGCATTTGACCAAATTGTGTCAGATATTTGACATTTCCGAGACGATTTACCAGTAAGTCGTCTCTGGGAAAGTTAAAATTTCAATATTTTAATAGTTCAAGACGACTTACGGATAAGTCGTCTTAGGTTAGTTTTGTGATTGAAAAATAAAACTTTAATTTTAACTTTACCCATAAGACTTGATTTAAAGTTGTCCAGTCAGACGACTTATTCTAAAGTCGTCTGTGATAAGTAAAGTCGTCCAGATTTTTGCCGGTCAAGTTTAAGTCCTCATACTGAACGACTTTAAATTAAGTCTTCTGGGAAAAGTTCAAATTAAAGTTTTATTTTGAAATTACAAAAATAACATAAGACGACTTATCCGTAAGTCGTCTTGAACAAATAAAATATTAAAAATTTAATTTTCCCAGAGACGACTTACTGGTAAGTCGTCCAGGAAAAGTCAAATATCTGACACAATTCGTTCAAATGCAAAACTAGCTCATTTTTCCTAGATGACTTACTTATAAGTCGTCTAGGGTTTTTTGTTTTTAACATACAAAGCTGGACGACTTAACGGTAAGTCGTCTCATTTAAATTTCAATTGCAAAAATGACCTACCTGGAAGACTTACCATTAAGTCGTCCAGCCGACTTACTTGTATGTCGGCTGTGTCAATGTTTAGTAAACTTTCATTTTCTCTATGTTTACTAGTGTGTTTGTATTTTGAATTTTTGCTGATGATTCGTCAGTTACATGCAGTGTATGGAGAATGGTTGTTCAAAGATGGTTGTTGGGATTTTGTGGTTGATAATTTCAAAGGAGCGAGAATGTTTCTTTTGAGTGAAGGTTCCACACATGCTGAAGTTGTTTCAATGACTCAAGAAGATTATAACCTGGACATGAGCACAGTCACTGTGGAGATAAGCTACTCATTACCAGCAGAAATGAGGATGGCTCCAGCCACTCCTCCCATTCATATTACAAGTGATAGACAAGTTTGAAACTTGCTCGAGATAACCAAAATGCATAGAGTATGTCTTTGTGTATCAAGCCGTAGCAAGGTGGAAACGGTTTCAGAGAAAAAGGAAGAAGCTGATCACAAGTTTGAAGATGATGAATGTTTTGAAGATGATGATGATAATGAGTTGGTTGAAGATGAAAATCATGATTGGGAGGAGGATGATGGGGAGAAGGATAATGATGAGGAGGATGCTGATATCTCTATTGTTTCCGAAACGGACGAGAATGGTGAGGATTACAGTGTTTATGGAAAGGTTAAAGATGAGGATGAGGAAGAAGATGATGATATTTGTTTTGAAGATTTCGAAAAGACATATGCTATTGAAGGAGAAAAATCGAATGGTAACAGTATCTATGTCAACTAGAGTTTTGTTAGCAAGGATGCACTACTTTCAGAGCTGCGATTGACCGCAGTGAGGCGTAAGTTCTCCTTCAGAATATACAAGTCAACGAAAACTCTCCTTGTGGCAACATGTCGAGTTAGTGGTTGTGGATGGAAGATCAGAGCGAGTGTGAAACATGGACAAACACGTTTTGGGTAACAAAGTATGTGGAAACACATATATGCTCAGTGGGAGACCGAATCGCTCAGCGGCGACACTGTACTCTGAAGTATGTTGGTAGGCTTTTCATTGATCGTGTTGGAATCATTGATGGGTTGATTCCGCAGCATATCACTGATGCAATGAAGAACATGTTTGGCATGGCGCTTGATTACACCACTTCGTACAGAGCACTTTTATATGCACAAACATTGGTTAGAGGATCAGCAGAAGATGGATATTCGCGTCTGCCATCATATCTCGAGCAAATCTCCTTAGCAAATCCTGATTCTATCACGGCTATAGAACTTGATTCTATCAATAGATTTAAGTATATATATTTCTCTTTTTTGGAGCTTCTATCAAAGTTTTTAAGCATCAGATAAGGGTCATTGTGGTGGATGGGACTCACCTAAGTGGGAAGTATGGAAGTGTTTTGTTAGTTGCAGCTGCACAAGATGGGAATTTTCAGATATTTCCATTCGCTTTTGCGATTGTAGATGTTGAAGATGAACCTTCTTGGGAACGGTTTTCACAAAACTGGCTAGTTGTGTATCTGATGAGCAGCCTCTGGTGATAGTCTCCGACCGGCACCCGGCCATAAAAGTGCGTGTGATAAGGTGTTTCCTTGGACAACCCGAGGAATATGTTATTATCACCTTCAAGAAAACATTGTCAAAAAGTATAAAGGGAAACATCTCTTGTACTTGGTGAAAGGTGCTGCTTATGCTCATACGGTTTCAGATTTTGACCAGTACATGACTGAGATATGGAGTGCAAACCCGGACCTTGCAACGTATTTGGAGTATGCCGGCGTCAGCCTATGGTCAAGGGTTTATTGGCACGGGAACATGTACAACTGATATCACTCAAATGTTTAACCCTAAGGAGTGATTTACTCTCTCAAATAAGAGGTTCAATCGTAGTACTTAGGGATCGAATCCACAAGGAACTAGAGTCACAAAAGATATAATCCTAAGTGATTAAGCTAGATTGAAAAGGTTTAAAACAATAAATAAAAGTTGGTAGCAATGGTAAGTTGCTAAGGAAAATAGGTTTTGGGTTTAAAAACAATGAAAGAAAATAGTTAAATTCAAGGTTACTATTCAGAAAATCAGTATTATAAATCTATGGATATCTTAACGAATTGCTTGCAAATATATGAGAACTTCAATCCTTAGAAAAATCTATAGCTATCGCTATTGAACTCGTCCATTGATCTGATTGCCGACAGTATCGATTGATGTTGCTATCGCAGTGTCGATAGATATATGTTGCCGTCGATCGATGACTCTATAGGAGTATCGATCGACATAGCATCAGATCGAATTGAAACTGTGTTCCGAGAATTTCTATTAGACT